TGTGATGTAGAACAGGCTTTGTAGTTAGGGAATTCGACCGAACTTTGAAAAAAAGTCCGGGTTCGGGATCGAACTTGACCCCGAACCCAAACCCCATTGAAGTCAATGGGGACCTGAACTTTTAGGCACAAAAATGCCTCTAAAAAAGTCATGGAAAGGGCTAGAGGGCTGCAAAAGGAAGTAAAATGGGGGTAAGACTAGGACAAATGCCCTGCAAACAAATGTGGATAGGGAAATCATCTAAAATAACATTAAATATGTAAAAATTAAAAATACAGCTGAGCCATAAAATAGCACTAGATGGAATCTTTGATTTTAGCTTTGGAAGAACATAAATTCAAATCTAAAGTATGGCTGTCAGGAGGATCACCAGAATTATCCATTTGAGAGTGCAGGGTATTCTCTTTCATTGTTCAAACTGAGCTCAACTTCTGATGCATGGAGAAAAGGCCTTCACAAGCCTCTGCTATTGTGTACATAGTTTATACTAAGTGACCCATAGGTTGAGGAGGCGGTGACCGTGGCAGTATAGATGAAAGCGGCGGTGGAGGAGGAGGAGGTAGCCAACACTGTTTTTTATTTTTTTGTTTTTTAAACTGGGGTAGCCCCCAAAATATTGGGACATATATAAAAAGAAAACTCTGTTCTGCAGAGCGACTGACCCGTGCGTGCTGCAGCTGAAATTCCACTATCGCCTGCTGCTGCTCGCACAGTCTCATGAGGCCGAAGTTACGCTGTAGCGCAGACAGGCGAGCAGCAGCCAGGTGAGAACGCCAAAAGCGCGCACAGATGGCCTGCACTTTCTGCAGCAGCTCTGATATATCTGGGTAGTTTTTCAGGAATTTCTGCACCACCAAATTCAGCACATACGCCAGGCAAGGGATGTGCGTCAAACCGGCTAGGTCCAGAGCTGCTACGAGATTTCGCCCATTATCGCACACCACCATGCCGAGCTTAAGGGCTCAGTGGCAACAACCACTCATCGGTCTGTTGTTCCATGCCCGTCCACAGCTCCTGCGTGGTGTGGGGTTTTCCCCCCAAACATATGAGTTTTAAAACAGCCTGCTGTCGTTTCCCCCTGTCGTTTCGCTCCATCTGTTACTTGGATAACTGTGGGAATTCTAAAGATAATACATGCCGACGAGCGCTTTTGCACCCTGCTACCTCTTATGCTGTGCTGATGCCTGTGCCTGTGTGTGACCAGCGCCTCTTTCTCCAAACTGCACACGTCCCTCGCATGACCTTCATTCCATGTGGGGTCTATCATCATCCTCCACATCATCTTCCACCCACTCCTCAACCCTGCCCTCCTTGCCAGTCTGCACACTGCAGAAAGCCACAGCAGTTGGCACCTGTGTTTTTCCAGCATGTAGAGTCTGCAAAGGACATATGGAAATTGTTTTTAGAATTGTATCCAGGCAACAGTTTTCCCTGTAAACTGACCTCTCAGTTTGACTTGTGAGGGTATTGCCCTCGAATTACAATATTGTTATATTGGTATTTGACGGTTCTATTTGACTGTCAGATATGAAGTGCACGCCCCAAATTTACTATTTAGCAATTTAGCACCAAAACAATTAGAATTTTTACAACTGCACTGTAACTGCAGTATTTGACACTTCTATTTGACTCTCAGATATGAAGTGCAGGGCCCAAATTTACTATTTAGCAGATTAGCACCAAAACAATTCAAATTTTTACAACTACGCTGTAACCACAGTATTTGACGCTTCTATTTGACTCTCAGATATGAAGTGTACCCCACTAATGTACTTTTTAGCACCCAAAAAAATGTAAGTTTGAAAACTGCAATGTGACAGCAGTATTTGACGCTTCTATTTGACTCTCAGATATGAAGTGCACCCCACTATTGTATTAGTTTGCAGAATTCTTTCCTAATCTGTCCCTGAAAGCGGCAGCATCCTCTCCCTACATTAATAAGAACTCATAGATAGAGCCTGGGTCACATGCTGCACTGGCCAATCACAACCATGCCATTAGTGGGCATGGCTGTGATGGCTTCTAAGGGCACACGAGTTAAACGCTTGTTGATTGGCTGCCCTGCAGCCTTTCAAAACGCGCCATTAAATCGCCGAACACCGAACTCCAACCCGAACATACAGTGATATGTCCGTGTTCGGGTCCGGGGTAGAAAAAACGTAATGTTCGGTACGAACCCGAACTTTACAGTCCGGGATCGCTCAACTCTAATTATGATCACTACTAGATATCCCCTCCCCCCTAATTTATAGAATCTCTTCAACCTTTTTTACTCTGGTTTATATGCTGTCACCAGACAATAAGTTTCACACAGATCAGCATAAGAGCATTCAGCAGTGAGAAAATTCCAACATTTGAGACATATTACTAATTGTCGCTATATCTCCCAAATAGATTATTTTGCTTAGCATTTAATTTTTTTGCTTTTTTGTTTCTCTTGTTTCCTTTGTTTATTTGTTACATTTTCTTTATGTTTGCATTGCCTTGGAGCTCACACTACAAGGCTTCTAGAATCCTAGTAGCAGGAATTTCTATACCATTTTAAAATTTAGAAATAAAAGTTATATTTTACCATTGTATCACTAACACTTTTAATCATTCACTACAACCTACATTTTTCTCTATCTGTTTTAGGGCTAAAACACCTTTTTTAAGTAGTGATATATCTTCAAACCAATACCACTACTTATTTATCTAGAATAGATAAGGAAAACAGTCTTTTTTTTTTTCTATTACCAAAACGTAGAATAAATGCCTCATGTAGCAATGTAATATTTGGAGAATTGGTCAGAGTTCCACTGCAATTAAAACACACATTTAAAATGGCATTTATAATTATATATTGTAACAAAGTCTAACAGCAATAAAACTCACACTATGATCCAATGTGTATGTGCAAGAGGTAGAAACAGCACATTTTTAAAATTTGCTGCACCACCAGGTGTCCCTGCAGATTCTGGGCTCTGCATCTGTCTCTGCAGGGACATAACATGGTCCCCTGCAAAGCAGTGTGGTCCCAAGCCCTTTATCTGCATAAGATGTTTTACTGGAATTTACACTATCGCTGCATGCCTCTCTTACTTAGAACCAGGAACGCACACGTTATCAGCATGTGTTCGGAGTTTGCTGCTTTGTGCATGTGTGTTATTTAACCTCATCCCAGAGTGCAAAGCTGACACATGGAAGAAGGCATGTGAGCATTTATTTTGTCATTACCAAATACACACACATATGATGGCTAATTGCATGAAGCCTCTCAGCAGGTCTTATGTGTCACGCTGCTTGCTCTAGGCACTACAATCCCAGGAAACTACTAACTACTGAAAATGATTGTTTTGTTCTGACAAGACACTGAGATATACATTTCCTGCAATCCTACTGTATGAAATGATACATAAATATGGCACATACCGCCAAAGCTGCATTGGTAGTGCCCCACATGACAAATTGGCTTTATTTGTACGTTATTTTACTTTTTATTTAACTCAACTCTACTGTTCTTAAAGGATCACTATAGTTTTAGCGGTTTTCCTGACACTATAGTGCCCTGAGTGTGCCCTCACCCTCAGGGTCCCCCTGCCGTGCAACTGAAGGGGTTAAAACCCCTTCAGTTACTTATTTTAATCCAGCACCGGGCTCCCTCGACGCTAGTGACCTCTCCTCCACGTCCGACGTCAGCTTCCCCGTCCGATGTCACTGGAGCTTTCCTATGGACGTTCTGCGCAATGGAGGCTGGATTAACCCCAAATGTAAACATAGCAGTTTCTCTGAAACTGCTATGTTTACATGTGAAGGGTTAAAACCTGAGGGACCTGGCACCCACACCCATTGAGCTGAAGTGGTCTGGGTGAGTATAGTGTCCCTTTAAATTTGAAGAAAGGAAATAAACACTATGAGATATGGAATTTTGATAGAAACAAATACAGCTTTTGCCTGATAATGAATCTGCATAGGTGCCTGGAACCCAGGCCCGGACTGGACATCGGGCATACCGGGCAAATGCCCGGTGGGCCGCGATGGCCATGGGCCGAGGCCGGCATAGGAGATCACAGGATCTCCCCTACCAGCCCCTGCATGGCCAGCGCTATCCGCGCGCCGGCCCTGCTGTGTGCCTCCATGGGCCGGTGGGGAGATCAAAGATCTCCCTCACCGACCCAGAGGCACTGAGATGCAGCCATCGGCTGGGGAGTGAGGGAGGGAGGAGAGGACCAGCGGAGCGTTGCCGCGGTTGCCGAGAGTTCACTCTCACCACTGGACCACCAGGGAAGGCAGCGCCCTCCATGGTAGCACGGCACCCCCCATGGAAACCCGGCTTCCCTGAATTTCCCTGAGCTCAACTGCCTCTGAATTTTACAGCTCAACTGCCTCTAAAGGTAAGAAGGGAGGGGATACATAGTTTTTTGTTTTTTTAAATAATACAAAAAAAAATATTTATACAAACACTGTGCTAAATACACTCACACTAAGAGCACTCACACACAGCACATTCCTACTAACATCACCCTCAGACACACACAGCACACTCAGACACAGACAGCATACTCACTCACACAGCACCCTCAGACACACACACACACATACAGCACCCTCAGACACACACACACACACACAGCACCCTCAGACACACACACAGCACCCTCAGACACACACACACACACAGCACCCTCAGACACACAGAACCTTCACTCACACAGCACACTAATACAAACATCACCCTCAGACACACACAGCACACTCATACTAATATCACCCTCAGACACAGACAGCACACTCGTACTAACATTACCCTCAGACACACAACACACTCACACACAGCACAATCTCACACATATACAACACACACACACACATATGTATAATATATAAAATAACCCTCAGTAAATTAACAGACAAAAAAATTAGAAACAGAATTTGACAATAGATAAGAACACCCTCACACACACAGCACCCCTCTTACACACACACTGCAATCCTCACACACATGCTGCACCCTTCACACATACACACAGCACACACTGCGCCCTTCACACATACAATACGTCCAAATATATATGTATGTGTTTGGACGTATTGTATGTGTGAAGGGCGCAGTGTGTTGGGTGTGGTGTGTGTATGTGTAAAGGGTGCAGCATGCATAATATTATTATTATTATTGCCATTTATATAGCGCCAACAGATTCCGTAGCGCTTTACAATATTATATACTACAGCACCACTACACACATTACGCTCCAGATACACTCTAGATCCCTTACCCTATATACACTCTGAATCCTCTATACACACACACACACAATCTCCTATACACACTCTGGGTCCTTTATACACAAGATCCCCTACATACATTGCACCACCTACACACACTACATTCCTGACATACAAACCCTGGATCCCCTATGCACACACTACATTTCTTGTAAGCAAACACATACTACATTCTCTAAACACACACTCTCTACAACCCCTACACACACTATGCCCCCTATAAACACTCGCTACAGCCCCTAGCCACACATATTACACCACAAACACGAATGAAATTGACCTATTTACACAATACCACACTACACTCAACACACACGCAATCCCACAAGCAGGCTCCAAACACATGCACCATATGCTTTTCTGGCCCTTTTGTCCTCTGGTATCCTTTATATATATATATATATATATATGCCAGTGACAGCCATTATCATACAAACATCACTTTACAGGAAAGCTTAACATGATAGGCGTTGTATTTATCAGTGGTGCTGTAAGGGCGTTACCTGTCATGCCTTTGTGCTTTAGATAAACCAGCAACCCTCTACCCAATTAAAACATATTTTTCTATATCTAGCTGCCTCCGTACATGAGGAATATATTGGAATAGGGGGCAGAATAGGGCCAGGTGACCCTAAGCATATGAGATTGGTTGTTCATTGTGAACAATATCTCTCCAGCTCAGCTGTGTGTGACTGGTATTCACAGCGCTGTCAGCACAGATTTCATCTTGGAGCTTGTTTCGGGAATTCTTACTCTGCTTAGAAAACCTCATTTACTTTTCCCGTATCTGCTGTTGACATCTGTAATACAGCATTTTGTGTATTCATATCGTGGACTCTTCCCGTGGTCCAAACCCCCCCCCCCCCACAGATTTGGTACTGACAGAGAAAAAACTAAAATAAAATGTACCCATCAAAGAATTTAGCAAGGTTTCAGGAAATGACAGATTTACAAAAAATCTAAACAAAATACTGACAGATTAGGACATAAAATTCTACTTCTATATCTATAAATCTGTATTATTTATATCTGTATTTCCATATCTATCTGTTTTGCCAGTCCTTATTGCTATAGAAGGGAAAGCATTTTACTAGTAAATTTCTAAATAAATATAAATGATAAATAAATCGATAAGAAGAAACTTAGAGTCCCAAGGTTGGTGAGGCGACCCAAATGACAGGGTAGCCTACCCCCCAGGGAGTCCAAATTAACACCTTAGGGGACACTCCAGTAGGTGTCCTGGGGCTTAACCCCTAGTTGATAAGCAAAAATGAAAAATCAAAAAACCTCAATTCACTGAAGACAACCCCAGTGACAAAAAGTTTTCCACTGGAATAAATAAATGACATACAAAATAAAATAAGGTCTATAAGATCCAGATCCTAGAAACTTACAAAAAGGTGTCGTGAATAAAACACTAACAACTACTAAGCCTTTCGGCTAAACCTCTCTTAACTCCACTAGAATTAATACAACCAGCGAAACTATCTGACTTTATTCATAATTAACTATGTCACTGTCTGCATAGTAGTAATACCCAGTGGATTGAAATACAAGAAGTGTCCTAGATACACAAAAGATGACCATAAAAATAAAGAATATATAATAGAGCAGCTATAAAATTGATAGCCTGAGGTATATACAGGGAGAGACCGTCTAAATCATTGGGTCTCTCTATCAATGTAGACACAATTATGCTTAATGTGTTGCCTGTATGTATCAGATCAGTTGTAACTAAATTGATATATAATGTAACATATCCTATTGAGAGGTTGTTGCTGCAACCGATCATAAAGTAATCTAAGCTCCTAATATATCAACTGTGTCAAAGTATCTGGACACAAAATCAAAGTGACAAAGAGAGGAAATAGAAGAAAGAAAATTAAACTAAATAGTGTAGGAGGGCAGAACCATACTTAGAGTGTTGGTTACCTGCCCTTAGTGTAAAGTGCCCAGTGCGGAAAAAATAGTGAAAAAAAGGGTTTCACCTGTCACTCTTTCACTATTTTTTCTGCACTGGGCACTTTACACTAAGGGCAGGTAACCAACACTCTAAGTATGGTTCTGCCCTCCTACACTATTTAGTTTAGTTTTCTTTCTTCTATTTCCTCTCTTTGTCACTTTGATTTTGTGTCCAGATACTTTGACACAGTTGATATATTAGGAGCTTAGATTACTTTATGATCGGTTGCAGCAACAACCTCTCAATAGGATATGTTACATTATATATCAATTTAGTTACAACTGATCTGATACATACAGGCAACACATTAAGCATAATTGTGTCTACATTGATAGAGAGACCCAATGATTTAGACGGTCTCTCCCTGTATATACCTCAGGCTATCAATTTTATAGCTGCTCTATTATATATTCTTTATTTTTATGGTCATCTTTTGTGTATCTAGGACACTTCTTGTATTTCAATCCACTGGGTATTACTACTATGCAGACAGTGACATAGTTAATTATGAAAAAAGTCAGATAGTTTCGCTGGTTGTATTAATTCTAGTGGAGTTAAGAGAGGTTTAGCCGAAAGGCTTAGTAGTTGTTAGTGTTTTATTCACGACACCTTTTTGTAAGTTTCTAGGATCTGGATCTTATAGACCTTATTTTATTTTGTATGTCATTTATTTATTCCAGTGGAAAACTTTTTGTTCAGTGAATTGAAATATAAATGATAACATTCACATTTTTCCTCCAGTTGCAAATTTGAAAACAGATCATTGATATGGCGATCAAATAACATGATATTGCCAATGGACACAGTATACATAAATAAAAGAATGTATTAATTAAGGTCAGTTGAAAAAAGATAAGACAAAATCAACAAAAAGGCTTGGAAACACCATATATTTACATTAACCATAAAGTTGAGATTATGAAAACAGAACTTCAACTGACAAATAAAAATCGGATAACATTTCATGACACAGCCTTCAAATACCTTTTGATGCTGATTGGCTGTCAAGTACAGCTTCATGACATACTACCGGAAAAAAGCACAGCCAGTCAGCTTCAAATGTGCTGTATGAAAGAATAAGCCCACTGGCAGCTATAACCATGCCAGAATAAACCCCAATTGTTCCCCCAACCCCTATGCATGGTGCTTGGGGAGATTAGGAGTACAGTGAACTGAATACAGCTCAACTGCCTCTCAATTTAGTAGGAAATCCATGCTCATTTGTGTTTATTTGGTTAAATATACATTATATTTAATTATTTGAATATGTATGTGTTGGGATATAATTGGAAGTGTTAATGCATTAAATCTATACAGAACAATACAAGCAAGTTATTAATGTAACATAATGATAAAAAAAACTAATAACCCATCAGGGGGTATCATGAAAAGTATCTGAAATAGTGAAGAACATATGCACACAGAAAGGGGTGTAGTGCTGTACAGTACATCCTCTGTACTGGGAATTTAGTGTGCCACTATATAAAGTCTCCTTTGTTATAAGAATGAGTGTGGTGATGTACAGACCCTCCTCCTGTAAATGTATAATAGTGTGAGCTGTGCAGGCCATTTTCTTTAATGAGATGGGAGGGCAAATGAGTTCAATAATGCCTCTCTAACTGGATATGAGTATAATGCTGTACAGACCATCCTCTGTAGTGGGACTAGAGTGTGAGCTGTAGAGTACCTTGTCTTTAAGGAGACTGGGAATCTATACGTGCCATCCTCTGTAATGGGGTTAGGATGCGGACTGTACAGTGCTTTTTTTTATGAGACTGGAGTGTGGCTGTACAGATCATCCTCTGTAATGGGATTAGAATGGGGGATGTATGTACAGACCATTCTCTGTAATGGGATTAGATTGCGGGATGAACAGATCACTCTCTATAATGGGATTAGAATGGGGATAGTAAAGACCATTCTCTGTAATAGGATTAGAGTGCAGATTGTACAGACCATTCTCTGTAACGGCATTAGAATGCAGGTGCTACAGACCATTCTCTGTAATGTAATGGGATTAGAATGTGGGATGTATGTACAGACCATTCTCTGTAATGGGATTAGATTGCGGGATGAACAGATCACTCTCTATAATGGGATTAGAATGGGGATAGTAAAGACCATTCTCTGTAATAGGATTAGAGTGCAGATTGTACAGACCATTCTCTGTAACGGCATTAGAATGCAGGTGCTACAGACCATTCTCTGTAATGTAATGGGATTAGAATGTGGGATGTATGTACAGACCATTCTCTGTAATGGGATTAGATTGCGGGATGAACAGATCACTCTCTATAATGGGATTAGAATGGGGATAGTAAAGACCATTCTCTGTAACAGGATTAGAGTGCAGATTGTACAGATCATTCTCTGTATGAGATTAGAATGCAGATTGTACAGACCATTCTCTGTAATGGAATTAGAATGCAGGTGCTACAGACCATTCTCTCTAATGTAATGGGATTACAATGTGGATTGTAGAGACTGTTCTCTGTAATGGAATTCGAATGTGGATTGTATAGACCATTTTCTGTAATGGGATTAGAATGCGGATTGTACAGACCATTCTCTGTAACGGCATTAGAATGCAGGTGCTACAGACCATTCTCTGTAATGTAATGGGATTAGAATACAGGTGCTACAGACCATTCTCTGTAATGAAATTAGAATGCAGATTGTACAGACCATTCTCTGTAACGGCATTAGAATGCAGGTGCTACAGACCATTCTCTGTAATGTAATGGGATTAGAATACAGGTGCTACAGACCATTCTCTGTAATGAAATTAGAATGCAGATTGTACAGACCATTCTCTGTAATGGGATTAGAATGCGGATTACACAGACCATTCTCAGTAATGTAATGGTATTAGAATG